CTCCCCTGCGAGATTTTCCTCTACACCAAAATATAATATTATACCTACCAATTGGAGAAAATCGGGTGGGGGGATTGGAGTCTGGACCTCCTTAGATAAAGTATTGCCTCCCCTGCCAAGAATATAACCTACGCACGCTTATGATGGAGATTGATTATAAATAGTATTCTTACTATACATAGTTATTTACCTTAGACATTTAAAAATATGTTTTAAAAACCATCAAAAATAGTTATTAAATTAAATTTTAGATCAATACATTTAGATTTTACAATGATGTGCATTTTWATAATTCTATTTTGTGTATTGAAATGTAGTGGACTTATGCTTTTATTTTTAACATTAAGGGTGTTTTAGGAAAAAAAATTGGGTTTGATTGTATTTAAGTCGAAAATGCACAGAACTTCACGAAATAATCAAGAAAAACAAAAAAAAWTAATACAAAACTTTAAATTATAAGCAAAACTAGATGATGAACATTTTTTTTGTTTTTTCTGTAGCTTTCTCAAAAACACATAATTGATGTAACTTAACTAAATATTTATATGATGCTAATATTTTACAATATAATTTTTAAATATTTTCACTATTTAAGAGACATTTATAGACTTTTTTTTAATAGACATAGATGATGTTTAATTTTTATTTATTTCGGTGGGTTAAAAAGTTTGAAAATTTGTTACATGGTTCCTCATAAGGTCTTCAAACAACAATTGAAAAGTAATAAAACATATATTCACAGTAATTTTTTTAAGTGTTAAGTTCAAATTTTGAAGAAAAAAACTACTTTATGTTATAATAATCATAATTTTTATATTTGACCAGTGAGTAGAAGCAGAGTATCACCATAACTATATATGAACTAAAGAACTAATTAGTTATCATCAATAAGTAAATACTTGTAGCTTTTTATGATATCAGTTTCTATTAATTTTATTTGATTCTCTAGTAGTATTAATTTGTATATTTACCAAATATTGTATGTTTTTTATCTAGCCATTGTGTTGGTGCTAATGTTATGAAAAATTGTGAACCATTTGTATTAGGTCCCGAGTTAGCCATAGACACAATACCTGCTCCTGAAATAATAAAATAAGACATTAAATATTTATAGAACAATGGAATTCAAAATGTACATTGGACAACAGTGGCATTATTATGGGGATATATTCTCCAAACAGCCTTTTTTTTTTTAAAAAGACTTATTATTAGTTATTACTAAACCATTTACCTAATTTAGGTAATAAATAATAATAAATTAATATAATATTATGATCTATACAATTTAATGAACAAGTGGGAATTTGGAACATATTCCCTAATTATTAAAATTATGTAAGCTTATCCTACCTCAGAACTAATTCCTAATTACACTACTGTTGTCCAATATTGTTCAAATAAAAAACTTATAATTTAACCTGTATGTCTAAGATCATCATGAATTTCATCGTCGAAATGAATACCATAAATTGATGAACCTCCTCTGCCAGTGCTAGTAGGATCACCACCTAAAATTAAAAAAAAATTATATTTTATTTTATTTTCTCTCGGTTACATATTATGGTATGAGAAAGAATCCAGGCAGAAATAAGTATTTAATATAGGTACAGCCACTAAGTTAGTTCCTGCATACTATTGCATGAAATAATCGTTGAACTTTTTTAATGAATAATTAGTATATAATAGATAATAAAAGTAATGCAAATATTATAATTTGGCTTCATGTAGGTAATTTTTTTTATTTTTAAATAACATATTTTAAAAATTTTCATTGATAGGTTAAATTACTTTCAATAATTTTTACTTAAAAGTAAAAATCTACTAATTATTTAAGTATTTAGCATGATATTTATCTTTACATTACAAACATTTCACAATCAGCTTGAAAAAAAAATCAGATAGGTAACAAGCAGATCATAAAATAAAAGCTTTATGGATAATAATAAATAATTTGTAACTAGGTATGTATAATTTATTTAATATTTTAATTTATCAATGAAGAGTTTACATTTTACCATGTAATCAAATAAATTATTTACGTACTTACAATAGTATCTTAATGCACAAAGATTATATAAACAGTTTTAACATTAAATATATCACAATCAAAATGTATCTCAGTAGCACTGAACACTATAGGTTTACAGTTTGTACATACAAATACAAAGTAACTAGTAAGTAACATACAAGTAGGCACTTATAATAATGTAAGAAAATTTCTAATTAAACCATTATAGTCAGTGAAACCATATAAAATTTATTGTGTTATAGATAGTAAAGTAGGTAGAATAATTTCAGTACAAACAATAAATTTGTTTTAATTTTAAACAAATGGAATTATGAAATAGCACAGAAATAAAAACGGATGTAATTTTAAGCCCACAGTATAATTTACTTAAGACATTCATTTATCATACCTAAATGAAGAGAAATATAAGTCTTCCTTTATTTAAAATTTTAATCAACATTAAATTCTTACCTTGAATCATGAAATTACGAATAATTCTATGGAATTTTGTATTGTTATAATAACCACGTCTACAAAGTTCTGCAAAATTACGACAAGTCTCTGGAGCATGATCCCAGTATAATTCAATTGTTATTTGACCCATCCTAAAGTTAACAGAGTAGGTAATTAAAATTCCATAAATGTTTATGTTGTTAGATTATTACGAAGTCTCAATAATTGCAAATTGTGGTTTCCATGATTTGTCTGGGATACCACCAGCTCCATGGATCATTACTGCATCTTTCATGTTTATTATTTTATTAAACTTTATCACAGAATGACTTATTCAATAATTATCTTTTGGCTCAGTGTGGAGTTACGATTCTACAATTTTGCCAGTTTCTGCAATGATATAATTAAAATTAAAATCATTAAATACATGGATAAATAAGGATGTAAGAACACTAAGATTCATACCAAGTTTAACAAATTACAATAATATCATTTACATTTAAAACTATTTCCACGGCGGTTTGGATATAAAGGTAATTGAAAAATCTAGTTATACAACTAGGTACCAATAATATTTCTTTTTTGTGCCTATTGTAGTCTATAGACTATAATAATAAGCAACATAAATATCAATTAATGATTTATTGATTTCCAAATTGGTATTCACTTTTACTGTTAATTTAATTTACAAAATTACGATTGAAGGTAGTAAATCACTAAAGTAGTAAGTACTAACTACCAAGGTGATACTACCTAGTATCTTAAATCACTATAAAGTATAAACAAAAAATTAGTACTATCTTAAATTGTGTTAACTCATAACCACGGCTTAAGATATCTTAAACCGTGCTCATAACCGTGGTTTGGATTTTTCTACTGATAATTCATATCACTTGACATTTTGTTATCAAATATCATTTACCAGACAATTACTAATTAGGTTCTTTATATTTATATTTGGCTATTGGACAGTAATGGACACTTGGACACTAGTTAATGAAAAAATAATTCATAAATTTCATCATTATTTTTAATTTTAATTTTGGGGATCATGTCTCTTAATTTGTACACTAATCAAGTGTGTTTATTGGGAATTAAAAACATATTCAAGTTTAAATTACATTCAAAATGTATTCACAGGTCTGTTGCAGCTAGAAAAATTACACCTCAAGAAGTAATTTATTTCTTATTAAAATATCTACTATCCTATTTCTTAAATTATATATAATATATATGTATTTAATTATAGGTGACTGCGATTTTAAGCTTTAATGAACATATTTATGAATTCGAACAGAATTTGGGATCTATTAAAGCATATGAAACAAATCAACTGGAATCAAATGTTCCAATTGAAGATGCACGTGCAGAAGCTAAATGCCTTTTAACATCTGGTTGGTATGTTTGAATATATATTTTATAAGTTAAAGTTACTTCAAACTTATTCATCATTATTATGTCAGAAATKTAAAAACAAGGTCTTAGTAGCCTATTGTAAATTGTTTATGAATATTTTGAATACCAGGTTTTAAGCTCTAAATTTATTACAGCTAAATTATTTTAAACATACTTTTTATAATATTAATTATGATTATAATTTAAAATTAGAAGTAATATTATACTAGAACTCGTAGTTATTGTTCATCGKCAATTTACAATTTAATAACATTTAAAATGTAATTTAAAAGAAATTAGTCATTAGTTTTGTTTAATAATTTTCTACTTATAACAAAATTAGATTTACTTTATTAATTATATTGAAGATAGTTACTTAATTGATAAAAGTGTATTTCAAAATTGATATTAAACTAATGGATGTGGCATTGAATAATAATCTGTTAGCCAACACAACTAATTATTTTGTTAACCATAGTATCATTGTATCTCTTTTCACTGATGTTTTAATATCAATTTATTTTACACTGAGAAATGTAAGTAAGAACTACTGTTTCTCTCTGTGTTAGGTTAGCCCAAAAATTTACTATGTTGAGCGAATATAGGAATGCCATATTTATATGTTTGATGTTGACAAGATATTAAAATTTCAAAAAAATTAATACCTATGGTTTTTAATTGTTTAGGTATGTTGTTTGGAGTATTTGATGGACATGGTGGCGCAAGCTGTTCACATGTAATTACCAAACGTTTATTTGATTACATTTGTGTAAGTCTGTTGCCCAAACCACTACTTTTAGAATACTTAGAATCTGGAAATCAGCTTGTTGAAATGCGTAATGAGACATTTGATTTAGTTGGTGAATTAAAAACCTTATATGCTCAAAGTCTGAAATCATATGTACTTAAATTAATAAATGAACGCCAAGAACACCAGTTTAAAATGAAAGATGCATTAGAAAAAGCATTTTTGCAACTAGATGAAGATATTATGGCTGAAGCAAGATTAAATATCAATAGTGAAGTTGATAATTTGACATTGAATGTTGGGTTATCTGGATCTGTAGCATGTGTTGCTCATATTGATGGACCTCATTTACATGTTGCTTCAACCGGAGATTGTTTGGCTGTAGTGGGAGTTTATACAGATGACGATACATGGATAGCTAAGGTAGAWCAACTTTTTTATACATGTTATTCCTTTAAATATACTGAATATATTTGTGTGTTTAAATAGGTTATGGTTGAAGAACATAATACTGATAATTTAAATGAATTTAATAGAGTGATTTCTGAACATCCGTCTAATGAAAAAGACACGGTTATAAAATATGAAAGGCTTCTTGGTCAGCTAGCACCATTAAGAGCTTTTGGAGATTTAAGGTTGTTAACTTTTAGRCAAATTAGTAATGATGTATAATTAATTTTATAAAATATCTTTCATTATTTATATGTATTTTATTATCTGATGTTTAAAATATTAGATATAAATGGTCAAGAGAAATGTTAACTGAATACATTGTTCCTAAATTGGGAGAAAATTCAATACCACCTTWTTATTATACACCTCCATATTTAACTGCTAAACCTCAAGTTGCTCATCATCATCTTCAACCGAGAGATAAATTTCTAATACTTGCTACAGATGGCCTTTGGGATTTTATGTCTCCGTTACAAGTAATAAAGATTTTTGTTTATGCTTTTATTTAACCTACAATCATTGCTTATATCATTGTTTTGTAAGTAATAGGATATCATTACAAATTAATTGCTAATTAAAATTGTAATACTACTCAGAATTAGTATTAGCTTCTCAAAGCCCAAAGGTGTAATTAAATTAATTATTTTAACATTTCAGGTTGTTCGTTTGGTTGGAGAACACATGAGTGGAAAAGTAACATTGACACCACTTAAGTTACCTAGAAAAAATATGAAACTAAGTGACATAAATAATTTACTTTTACAAAGGCGAGATAGTTTAAAAAGAAAACCAGTTGATGCAAATGCATGTACACACTTAATACGTAATGCATTAGGGGGTTCTGAATATGGTGTTGAGCATGCTAAATTATCTCAATTACTAAATTTGCCTAAAAATATTTCTAGATCATTTAGAGATGATATAACTATAACTATTGTTTATTTTAACACTGAGTACTTAAGACATCCTCAATCTTAAGGTGGATAATTTTGTTTTCATGTTTAATATGTTTAATGATATATTGTATGATTTAAAARAAGACTATTACCTTTATATTTTGTTACATAAAGAACTAAATAAATATTAAATGTGTTAATAATCGGTAATTAATTTTGTATTATTATTTTATTGAATCGAAATTAATCACCAAATGAATGTAATTGTAAACATTGGCATACTCAGAATCAGATCATACACATTGAGTTTATCTTTTATGTATAATTTAAAATAAGATAAACATTCAGTCAGTAGTGGCTTTTTAAGACATTTTTGCTTGATTTATAAAACAAAATTTGGTTCTGATCGCCTCCTTATTTATCTCAGAAAAATCTTAGAAATAATAGCTTTATTTCTTTTACCCAGCAAATACTAGAGACTTTTGAACTATACCAATCTACCAGTTTAAAATTGTCATAAAAAATCTTTCTCATTGAGTTATTTTTGTACTACTATGCATTTAGTGATACATTTGACTGGGATAATAATTTTTAAGGTATTTAAATTTAAATAAATTTCTCGAAGTATGAAATTTTAAAACTCATATTGTTGTTTCTTAATGTATTTAGCAATTATTTATTATTTATAAGTTAAAAAAATTTACTTAACCTAAATCCAGTGCATTAATAACTGGGTGTCAGTATGCATGGTGCACAAAACCTAGATTGTATTGAGAGTCCATTCAGCTCTTTACAAATTCAGTAAAATATTAATTTTTTCTTTTCTTACTGTAGCTTTCTAATAAGCCGTSGTTTTTCTAAAGCTATAAATTAATAAACAATAACTATAAACTATTGAAATTTATATTATTTTTTATTCTTCACCTATGTTAGTTATTCAAAGTTTTTGATATTTATGTTATCATGATTATTGGTGCAAATTTTTAGTGCTAAAAATGGTTATTGAGAAAGTTAAGAACTGTGGTGATAGTAATTAGTACTTAATAAATAATAATTGAGAACAAAACAAATTTATAAGTCAATTAATGCATCAAATACCATTTGTTCTTTTAAAGTTCCAACAATGTGCAAGTAAGTTCTCTGATCATTTTTGTAGTTGATTCACTTCCCAGTGATTAAAAATATTTTATAGTAACTATAATAGATTTAATTAATATGATATTACTAAGGCAATCTATTTATTTTCGAGAATTTCTGTACGACTGTATTACATATTATACCGTATGTCTGTAGGTACGAGAGGGGAACAAACAGTAGATTGCAAACCAACGGTCAATTTAGAAAATTTCAAAGTCTAACTACTATTGTTTAAACTTATTATTATACATTTAGTACACACACTTACATTGTTAAATAACATTTTCTTTTCTCACATAAAAAATTATAAAAGCTAAAAATTGAGCTTTACTTTCTGGCAGGGTCATCCCAAGATTATTTGGGGTCAGGGCAAATTAACGTGAGAGACACATTGATGTTACGGTATATTAAACAAAATCTTTGATATAATCTAAGAACAAAATACCCACTAAGATTATCAAAATTCTTGCAAATGTATTTTTCCGAAACTCGATTTMCCGAGCTCATTTAAATTCATATATTGCATTACATTTTCAATAACTTCATATAGTAATGTATTACCAAATWACATTAAAAATAAGTGGATAAGCCGTGGATGTCACTCTGTTGTACAGTATAGGTTACAAGTGGGTTACTGTAATGGATGGAATTAAATTTGAATCCAATGATATATCATTGTATACGAAAAACGATTCTAAGCGGAGACGGTTTATCTGTCTAGGATATATTATAGATTATTAAAAATTTTCAAATCTTACATTTAAAAAGGAAAATTGTTATAAATTTCTAGCTTAAAATAATTTGCGAATTTCCGTGATTTTGACGTATGTTGTCAAACTCCAAACTTTAAATGCTTCTAAAAAAAATTGTGACTATGTATTTCTTTTATTTTTCAACTGCTGTTGTAAAAATATGTTAGGAGCCTTGTATCAAATTGTCAAATTTTAGATTTAGAAAGAAAAACTTTTATGAATTTCTATTTAAGATAATTTGAACATTGCCGTAATTTTTACGTATTTAGTCAAAATTTGAACTTTAAATGCTTATTAAAAAAAATTGTGCCTATGATGTATTCTAATAATTTTTTAATAACTATAAGAATAACTTATGAGGAACT